GGGTGCGGGCAGTACGGGGCGCGGGCAGTGTGGGGTGCAGGCAGTACGGGGCGCGGGCAGTGTGGGGTGCAGGCAGTACGGGGCGCGGGCAGTGTGGGGTGTGGGCAGACGGTGCATGCAGGGCTCGCCTGCTGTGTGTGCCTCATCTCCCTCAGGAGAAATCCTCAGAAGAGGCTGAGCTGAGGGCTTCTGTAACAGGCCCTGATGTCTCAGGAGGTGACTGAGGGGGTCCTGGAGCTTTATTTATCCGTAATGTTCACCGTTGCTGGCGACCAGCCAAGGGTGCTAGTGGTGCCAGGGATTAAGCAATGGACTGCTAGCTGCCACCTTGGCAGTTTGAACCCAGCAACTGCTCCCCACGGGAAAGATGAGGCTGTCCCCTCCTGTCAAGTTTGACAGCCTCGGATCCCCGACAGAGGTGACCAGGTGCCGGAGCTGGCCTGAAGGCAGTGCGTTTTCTTTGGGTTTTGATGAAGACTCAGAAACCACAACCTTAGAGGGTGGAGGAGAGTGGTGTCAGGTCCCGAGATGACCTGGCAGCCTGTTCAACTGGTTCTTCCTCCGCCGGTATCTACCCAGATGTTACTGCCTGGATTTTCAGTCTCACCGATAAATGAGCATACTCTTAAGGAATGAAGGCTTTGGACCTGGGCGATGTGATGAATGAATTCCTCCCAAGGACAGGCTTCTAGGTTTTCAGTGGCTATTGAATTGGGAGACTGTGGCATAGCCCACAGGGGGTCTCACTGTGAACCCGCAGATCCTGTTGTCCACCAGCAGCTCCACAGGACAGAGGTGGTGTCTGTGTCTGTGCGAGTCCCCACCCGGAACCCACCGTAGGGCAACTGGGAGGCAGTTCTGACTTGATGCCAGTGAGTTTTGAGTTGATTTGAAATTGAGATATTATTTCAGGGATAGGTTTGTTTCTGAGTAGAGAAGTGAAACGGGCCTGAGGTGCTAAAATTGCTGTCCTAACTCTGAGCATCAGCTTGGGGTTCTCTGGAGGTCCAGAGATGAGGACACTCCCATATTGTCTAGTTCGACGGATATGACATCTGACTCTGAACTCATCAGTGTCCCTTATGTACATCTTACATTTTCTTTATAGCATTTACTAATACAAACCAAGAGATAGCACCTGCCAAGCCTTTGTCCAACCACAAATGCCATCCCCTGTCCTTGTCCTTGGCTCTCATTGTCGCTGTCTGAGTGTGGATCACTTGTAGGTCAGCGTTCATTACTGCTGGTATCACAGGGCCAGGGCCACATGGGCTTTTGACTCAAGCAGCTCCTCCCTGGAGACCTGCCCCTGAGCTGGGCACAGTCCAGGCAGTGTGTCCACACTCTGTCCGTATCAGAAGCCTCCTTTTGTCTCTTTCCACAGTGATTGTACTTTATGTAGACCTAGTTATATTCTTTTAAAAACTTTATTTGCGTGAAGGTTTACAAATCATACTGGTTTTCATAAAGTCATTCCAAGGCATTTTGTTTTATAACATTACCCTCTATTGAGTGACGTAATTAATGAATTACAATGTCTCCTCCACCCTTTATTGGGGGTTGCCCATCCCTTCATCCAACTTACCTGCTTATTCCCTTTCCATTCTCCTTGCCCTCCTTCCCAGCCATTCCCACTGTAGAGTGTCACTAAAACATGCTCAGGAGTTCCGGAAACGCTGCACAGCGTGGATAGCTACAAGTGACGCTGACTCATAGACCAGCACGATTGCGCTGTACGCCTGAAGTGTAAAATGCGCAGGGAGACTTTGTACAGACAGACGCAGCCTAGTTACATTCTTATGAGAGTCGGAAATGGTGAAACCCATACAGCCAGGTTCACTGCCCCCTGAGCCACAGAGACACCACTGCGCTGGCCACACTGTCCACAGGTGTCCATCGGAAACATCCCAGAGCAGATGCTGAAATGCAGAGGGGCTGAGGGCTCTCTTCACTACCCCCTGTTGGCCCCCCAGATCCCGATGGCCCCTGTAATGCTCTTAATTGTCTCATATCTGCCCACTTTTCCAACAGGTTGAAGAGAGACCAGATAAAGACTTCACTGAGAAGGTAAGGCACTGCGGCTGACGTTTACATGTCACCTATGACCTAGACAGTCAATTGGGACATTTCTGAAAAGACCCAAGTAGGTGTCCTTCTGTGTTCAACACGGACTCCTGCCACTGTGCAAAGAGTGGACCGTAGGTGGCCCCCCAGTAAGTGTCCCGTGTCCCCAGGGGCACCCAGAGAGTCACCTCCATGGTGGATGTAAAATCTTACCAATGTGAAGACTCACGGTGGGCCCGGCATCAGAGCTCACGGTCCTTGCAGCCCAGTTCTGAAGCCCCCATGTGGCCCCTCAGACAAGACCACCAAGGTCTTCCCACCTGGAAACAGAGTTAAAGGCCCGTCTCCACAGTCTTACCAAGTCCTCTCAGCTTTGAGTGAAATTGCATGTGACTCTTTGCTGTGTTCTAGGCATCTCGAAACATGCCCAGCTTGTCCGCAGCCACCCTGGCCTCTCTGGGAGGGACGTCCTCCCGGAGAGGGAGCGGGGACACGTCCATCTCCATCGACACCGAGGCCTCCATTAGGGAAATCAAGGTAAGACCTTCTTCTTGATGACTGAGGAACCTTTCGTGAAAGGTCATCTCCACATAGAAAAACATCCAGTTCTTCACATTCTAAGCCTCTGTCCTTTCTCTGATACACCAGACCCTGCTCAGATGTCACCTCCTGCAGGAAGCCATCCTTAACTGGCCCAGGCCAGCCAGGGCAAGCTGCACTTGTGTGTCCCTGTCTCCTTCTGTCATGCTCTCCGAGGGCACTGGCCACATGGCATTGGCTCAGTCGGTCACCTCTGTTTCCCTCATGTGTGGACACTCAGTGTCACCTCTGTGTCCCTCACGTGCAGACACTCAGTGTCATCTCTGTGTCGCTCACGTGCGGACACTCAGTGTCACCTCTGTGTCCCTCACGTGCGGACACTCAGTGTCACCTCTGTGTCCCTCACGTGTGGACACTCAGTGTCAC